GCAGCCTTTTAGTCTTAAGACAAACTCTCATGACCCAGCGTGTAGTAAACAGTCAAGCTCAAATGGACAGCATACTTTCGAGCAGCTTCAGACATCTCTCGACTTGTTTAGATTCGGTCCCAGATGCTGGCATTGATGACATCATCGATGTACTCACCTCGTCTAAAGATGAGGAGAACAGTGATTTATTGCTTGACTCGGCCAAGATTCAGCCTATGAAGGAGATAATGTCTGGAATGTTGAAAAGGAGTTTGCAAGAAGATGACCCGGTTTTCGCACGTGTTTCTCGAGCCATGTACTTGGCTATGAGAGGAGTTGCTTTTGGAGGAACTGGAAAAAGAGGGAGAGAATTGGCTGAGGTGGCATTGCAGAAGGTTGGGGCTGGTCTGCTCGTTGATGACGTGGCGAGGGCTGGGGCTGTGCTGGTGGTGACGGCTAAAGTGTCGGTTATTGTTCACGGGCCTTGGTATGCGAATTTGACGAGGGAGTGAAGTTGGAGCTGTCTGTAGATAATGATATATGCAAGTGTTTGTGGATAAATAAAATGGTTAATAAGGATAGGTGGGATGTGTGTTTATTATATAAGCTGTTGCTTCTCATGGGTTTGTATAATTAGTTAAAATGGGGGGAAAAGAGTGACTTTTGTTGGTTTGGAGATTGAAAAAAGTTTATATTTGAATGTGTTGCTTTACTCTTTTTAGTTTTTACCTCTGTATGTTTGATAGTTACTGTTGTTGCTTACATATTTTTGTTTATGCATGTGTTGGTGAGAGGAGCTGTAAACTGTAATTGGGTTTTCATCATATTGTTTTTGTAGTAATGTTATACTAGTACAATACCCGGGTTAGAATTAGGAAGTATATGTAAAAAATATTAATTTTTTTTAACTAAAATAATTTAAGTTTATATAAAATATTATTTTAGATTTTAATTAAATTGTTAAATTATATTTTTTAATCATAATAATTAAACACTCGTATATTAAATGAAAATGTTAACTTATATTGAATTTTTTAGTTATATCGTATAAAATTATCGATATTATTTACTATTATTAAGTAAAAAAAATATACATCTTAAATAAATAAAAATAATATGGTGATATGTATATGCATAAGTGCAAAAATATGTGTGTTTAATATTAAGCAAAATAGATTAATTTTTTACTTTATTAGATTCCAAATACATTAGTGTAGTATCCGTTGTGGTTCACAGTTTTCTAACTTTATATGTAATTTTAGAATTTAGATAAATAAATATTTATTTTTATTAAAAGAAGAAACATTTATAATAACTAATGAATGAATTAAATAAGAAAATGAAATGTAATGTATTGCAATATAAGAAAAATAAATATAAAATAATTTATGGTAACTAATTGTAGAAGTAAAGAAGGAAAAAATCAATCATAGATTTAGTGTGATAAAAAATATTAATTTATATCCAAGCCTAATTCCAAGACATTGTTTATTGCCAAATAGGATTCCGAAACGTGAGAGTTTGCCATGTAGGCTCAACCTATTCTGAAATTATATATAGAAGAGATTAGGGCTGTAAATGAGATGAATTGAGGTTGAATCAAATACTTGAGATTGACTCATTTATTAAATAGAATATCAAAGAATTGAAGCTTTAATAAGTAAACAAATAGTTTAATCGGACAAAAACTCCTATTTTTTAGCCGAACGAGCTTGAGAAATGGCTAGTTCATCAAATGAGCAGAGCCAAACTCAGATTCGAGCTGGGCTCACAAGCGGGTCGTTTTGCTAAATAGATTTAATGATAGTGCAACATTTCTTGGTCAAATGATGGAATTCAAAGGTTTCTACATTGTGACACCATAGCCAATAATCACTGAGGCGAAACCTTTAGACCATGATTGGATACAAATTATCTTCAAATTTAACTCAATTCAACCATTCTTAATATTATCAATATAATTTAACAATATCAATCAATCACTTCCAATTTTAATGAACTATTCATTCACTCACATAATTTTAACTACTCATCACTTCCAATTACATCTCTCTTATTAATCATTATATCCTAAATATTATTTTGATACAAACTTAAAATCTCATTCAAATACAACTCAATCAACATTTTCAGAAGAAAACTTTGAATTTGATTGACCCGGTCCGAACAACCCACTCAAACAGGCCCTGACCATGGTTCGACTTGTCAGATCGGTCTGATTTTCAAAACTATGGTTACAACTATTTACCACTAAAAGTCTAAAACACTCATGTATTATATGCATTTTAATTTAATGGATAGTGATAATGGTTGTCACTTAAATAATAAAAAATACATCATAGTCATTAGATATATTAATCTAATGGTCGGAAAGGAGTCAACATTATACACTAATAAAAGGTATATTGGACACTCTCTCACACATGTTCCTACGTGGGCCCCACCCCATTTGCACGCTCTTTCTCTCTCTCACACACACACAGGGCTGGAACACACACATATAGGACTGTGACGCCCAAAGTCCCTACCCCGCCACCGACCGCCACTGTCCCACCGATCGTTTCCGCGACACACACTCTAATGAAGACGCGCCACCACCGACGTTGGTGCGCCCGTCAATTCTTACGAACCACTGTCCAACACTGAAGACCATGCAACCGTTGATCTCAACGGACGAAATCGGACGTGCACCTCGCCACTTGTAGTATGAATTTGGAGAGCTTCTACACAACGGAGGCGACAGCTTGTGGTCGGGGATGTCATCTTCCTGGGGAGGGTCATTGGGTGAGCAGGGCAAGACGGTTCACCAAAGGCGGGGATGGGGAGCTACACAAGGGGACATGTAGGGATGATGACCAATTTTTTGGTTGGGGCCTCTCTTTTGAAATCGGATAAGCCTATGGGACTTGAAACTTTTAATATATTGCACTTTAGTATTTGAGATAAATATGCAATTTATTAAAGATTCACAACTGCACAACAATGATAAGTGAAACGCACAATATTAAGTATTGATATGCACATAAAAAATGCCATTGCATTTTAATATGATTACAACATTGAAAATTGTCACTTCATGTACATGTAATAGTTCATGAATTAATCAAAATGTCACCAGCACAAATATTAGGGGAAGTGCACATTGAAAATTGAACAAGTAAAATAGTTATTTTTCTTTCCCTATAAGGATAAACACAAATACTACAATAACTAGTCGCTTTAATTTGTTATTCTTATTTCTTTTGGTATGTTTTTAGATTTACTGATATAAATTATTATTTTTCATATAAAAAATATAGTAGCTTATACTGCACATTTATAATTAATTTAATATAATTAACAAACAAAAAACTAGCACTAAAATAAGGAGAATGGAAAATGAAAATAATAAAATCCTTTATGGATCATCTATTGGAAAAAAATTAAAATAAAAAATGGAAAAACACTCTGACAAAATCCAGACTTTTCACCTGAGCAGTAACAATGGCCAGCGAGGCTCAAATGCCTCTCTCATTCACCCTGCGATAATTTATCAATCTCCTCAATAAATACGCAAACCCTACTCCTCCCCATCATTCTCCATCCCTCAACCTTCTTCGCCTCCTCAGATTCCGTGGTGTTCGCCGCTTGTTATCCCTTTTTACTGATTTAGCCGGACGAGGACTCGATTACGATCACCGCCGCCGGAAGCGATGTCGTCGGGAAGATACATGGCTTACTCACCGTATCCCTCCGCCCCTCACTCTCCGCACATCGGAGCCGCTGGTGGCGGCGGGGTTATGCGCGCCGCCTCTGTGCTCATGGAGCAAGAAAAGTAATTTCTTGTTTTTTCCCCATATTTTTTTTCAGGTTTTGTGGGTTTAACGTTTAAGTGTGTATTAGGGGGAGATCTTGTGGAACCCAACAGCTTCTTATCCTTGTTANTGTGGCTATTTGAGAATGCTGAAAATTTTGTGTTTTGGGGGCAGGTACTTATCAGAGTTGCTGTCTGAACGCAAGAAAATCGATCCTTTTGTGGCTGTGCTGCCAACTAGTTATCGTTTGCTGAATCAAGGTGAGTTTTTTTTTTTTTTTAATTCTAAATCTATAAATCTTGTGGCATCTGTCTATAAAACAGTTTTAGAGTTCCAGAAGGATATAAATGGCTTATGCAATAGTGTATCACCACATCGTTTCAAATGGAATCTCATGGCATGGGTGTCTTCACCATCCCCTTAAAAGATTCGAAGACTAAAAATCATAGCATTTTCGCTGTGTAATATATGGTGGTTTATGGCTGTTGACCTAGAAAGTTATTTTTTTCTTTTTCTTCCTTTATTTTCTATAGGTTATTATATTTCTTCTTCTATTATTGGCTTGCAATAAAACCCAAAGCTTTATTTATTCAGAATTTCAAAATAGAAATAGCCTAACTATATGTGCCACCCCTGTCTCTAACCTCTGAGGGCTCTGACCTAATGATGTTAATTATCATTGGTGTATTAATCTTAGGTTTAGATTTCTTTAAAGATGTAATTGTTCCGTATAGCTACAATGAACTGACATATTCTTCTGATTGGACGTATTGATTTTTTAACTAACCAATGAATGAACAGTCTTTTGTCAGTCCATGATGTGGCGAGTGGCTTGCTGATTTATTAACTCTAGCACTAACTGGTTACATGTTATTCTTGGAAATTCACATTTTTTTGAAGCAGAAATATTGCGTGTAACTACACTGTTGGAGAATGCATCGGTATTAGAACAAAATGGGTTTGAACAAGCTAGCCCGTTGGCTTCAGCTGGAATATTTACAAATGGAGGCGCTAACAACAGATGGCCATCACCATTTCAATCTGAAGTATGGTTGCTAACTATTGACCTAACCTTTAGTTTGGTCTTTAATATTTTTTAAGAGTGTCAAAACAAATTCTTTATGGTTCAAATATCAAATCAAACTAATTTTTAAAGCTTGACAGGTTGAAGCTAACATCTAAGAGAGAGAGAGAGAGAGAGAGAGAGAGAGAGAGAGAGAGAGAGAAATTCCTCATAGAGGAGCATAATAGATATGGATTATCGTCAACAAATGCAACTTCTACTTAGTGACTTGGCTCGTTAAATGAGAATAACTAGCAGGAGAACCCATTATCCGTGTTGTTAACTTTATGGGTTCTTTTAATTATTGATTACATTTGAGTGACCAGGGTCTGGCCGAATTTGGCATCTACAAGTATCTTTTTTAACATCCTTCTGCTTATACACGAGAGTTGAAATCCACTCAACACTCAAAAATAGGTTCTTTTTTTTATTATTATTATTATTTTTTTTTTTTTTGTGTGTTGTCAAACTGTCTTATTTGTCCATGTATGTTGTGCATTTGTTTTTGTTATTTTTCTGTTTTACCCTCCGATTTTAGATTTGCTTTAAGTGAACTTACTTTCCTCAGCTTCCTATATGACAGAATCAATCACCTAATAATAGTTTGCAATTTTTCCTGTTTGCAATATCTGGAATTTTAAAATGCAGGTGTCGGGTTTGATGCAGCCTTCTTCCTCACATAATTGGATCGGCTCTCATGGTAAGTCGTCAGGTCTTATTGTCAAGCGACTTGTCAGAATCGATGTTCCAGTTGAACAGTATCCAAATGTAATAACAATTTTTCCCTTACCCTTCGATTTTTTGTCACATTCATTTTTTTCAGTCATTATTTATTATGTATGGTTTTGCAGTACAATTTTGTCGGTCGCCTCCTTGGGCCTAGGGGAAATTCTCTTAAACGAGTTGAAGCTGCTACTGGGTGTCGTGTTCTAATCAGAGGACGTGGAAGTGTAAAGGATCCAGAAATGGTAAGATTAAGATTGGATGTAGCTTAATTTAGTGACTACTGAAATATAGCTTATACTATACCAAACATCTTTTTTCGTTAGTTACCTACTTTAAACAGTACAACTTTAAAGTCCCCTACTGTATATTGAGATGGGAAACTAAGGGCGTGCTTGGATACAAATATATCTGCTAAAACTGATTCTTTTTAGTTAACCATGGTTAATTTTGAAAAAATTGGTATGGTTAGTTGTTAGTGGGATTTTGAGTTTATATTAAAATATTATTTAAAATAGAATAATTAAAGTTAATTTGATGAAAAAGTACGATAGAGATGATGTGAAGTGATAGGTAGTTAAAATTATGTGAGTGGATGAATAGTAAATAAAAGTTGACGTGATGTGTAAGGATGATTTATGTATGAATATTTTTTAACTATATTGATAATATTGAAGATAGTAAGGTTGAGTTAAAGTTGAGTTAGATTTTGAGTATGAATTGAGATAATTTATATATAAACAGGCCCTAAAATTGCTGAAGTGCTTTTATCCGATAGGATCAAATTGTGCACACTTGATAATACCAAAGATTGATCATTAAAATTATAAATCTATTGCACGTACACCCGCGCGGGTCCAAACCAAGATTGAAGCAAAAAGCTTATTTCTTGTGCATGTTGAGCTCTTCATGAGTAAAAGATTCTTACAGTGGTTTTATTTAAGCCATTTTTGTTATTATATTTTCTTCTGTGTGTGTTTTTTTTATAATCATAGTGTGGAT